GGCGAGTCAGTACCCTAGTTACGGGTTTCGCGCCTAACCAACGTAAACCGGGCGTCTCACTTGGGTGAGTCCGTTACCGATCTAAATTGGGTTTGACGAGTGACGGGGCGTCGGGGTGGCACAGACTTAAAATTATGAGGGATTTATAACGCAGTCTTGCCTATGGCATACACCGCGCGTATGCACTAGCGAAAATCACATACATGCATACATTCAATCATACATCACATGCATAATAAGTAAACGTGAAATGATTGTGGCTCCTAAAGAAAAACAAACGATAGCGCCTTGATCGAGAGATCTCTAGCTCCGGCCCATCACGTCTTCCATAGGATTCTCTATCACAAACGGACTTCGTCTTCTTATCTTCTTATAATATTCGAGAGAAAAGAATATTTGAGGTAAAGAAGAGAATTACATCCAGAGTATAGAGATGAGGCACGACACGCAGGCCGTATTTAAAATTACAACAAATATAACTAAGCCACAATCATCCACCATGCAATAATACATACAAGCATCACATGCATCACATCATACATATTAAAGCATACATCGGGCGAACCGCGCTCGCCCCAGACCTAGTTTATTCTATTCTACGGAATAAACTATCAACAATAAATTAATTAAACTAGCAAGTAATTTAATTAAAAATCATAAAATACTTTAAATTTTCAGAATGTTAGAAATTTGATTTTCTAAATTCCAGAAAATAAAATATTTTATATTTACCGTATTTATATATATTTAAATTCGAAAAAGGGCTTTTATTTTGAATTAAATATATATATGTTTTCTAAATTAGCAAATAATTATTGGAGACTCCCAGTAAACTTTATTAATCTGGAAATCCTAAAATTCCAGAATGAATAAAATTTAAAATTTTGAAAACCATTTTTCAAAGATAGAAAACCGAAATTATATTGTGAAAATATATTTCGAAATTCCAAAAATAACAAAATTTATTTTCCAAGTCAAAAATAAGTTCCAGAACCAGAATATTATTTTTCTATAATTTAAAATATTAATTTTTCAATTTAAAATAATTAAAAATCGGACTAGTGAATAGTACCGATCCAATTACTTCAAAAATACAAAATAAATACTTTTACGTGTTTAAAATTTATGAAAATTTTTATACAAGCTTAAAATCTCTGGTCGCAACTTATTATGAATTAAAATTAATTTTTGATCGTCAAAAATAAGTTTCCCCATTTTCTATTCAATAAACGAATTTAAAAATAGAAAAATAGGAAATTAATTCCAAAAATAGATTTTAAAATTTCTGAGTTATATTGACATGTCAAATACTTCCCAGCAAATATAAAATCTAATTTTCATAAATATTAAGTATTTATGGCACAAATAACAAGTATTCTACACATAAACTACTTAATAAGAATAATATAAAAATACCCCAAACAATAATTCCGAAAATTACTGAACAAAATTATATTAGGTCCAGTATCTAAATATGGCCACCTAATTAAATTTTTAATGGGATAAATTTTTGTCTCCAAAATTTATTGACTAATCTACAAAAACAATAACGGCAAAAACTACTAAACTAGTAACTTCGTAAGCCGGCTCCGATACCACTGTTGGGAAACGAGGCTTGGATAACGCAGCGAAAACAAAAATTTATAGTCCAAAACTCGATTCCACCCAAGAACAACTTACGTAAATTACTAGCTATAGTAAGAAATTTACCTTAACGGTGAAAACGGAGAACGGAGGAACGGTCGGGGATAGGTTTGAGGAGATGAACGTAGCGCCAAACGTATGAAGCCTCCAACGTATCCACACGAACTTGCTCCGGAGTCCAAGATTAAACTTGTGCTAGCAAGTTTAATATAGGATAGTAAAAACTATAATAATACTACTTTGGGAGTAATAAATATATAGTAAAA